AGTGGAGGCCAGTGAGTGGGGCGGGCCAGGGCGAGGGCCAGGGTGGGAGTGTGGGCGGGAAGGGGGGAGCGGGCGCGGGGATGGGAGACTGCCCGGAGGCATGGGTCTCTGCCGCCGCTGTTAGCCCGTGGGGCCTGTGAGCCCAGGGATTGCAGCGAGTGCAGGGCAAGGTGGGGGTCAGGGCGACAGGTGGGGACTCTGGTGTGCGGATGGAAGGCTGTCGGGAGGAACGGATCTCTGCCGTCGCGCAAGCCCGCGGGATCCAACGCGGATGGTTTGTGCCCTCGCAATCCCCCCTACACAGTGCAAAGAACACCTGCACGACCCCCTCACAGCCAGGCGGGCGTGCAAAGAAACTTGACGATCCGCTCGGCACCACAGCCACCAGCCAGGGGCGCGTGGGGTGCACCCACCCGCAAGCCGCATCCACAGATGCCGCCCTCGCAACCGGCACTCGACACACGCCGATAAACCCCGTCCACCCGTTTCCCCATCACCCATCACACGCACACACACCACATGCAACACACACACACACGCGCGCGCACGCGCGCGCCTGCAGGATGCGCATGGCCCTCTGCAAAGGCGCCATGATGTCTGTCTTGCCGCGTGCCTTGACCTGGTCGTTGACCCACTGCTGGCACGCAGCTATGTTGTCCGGAGTCGCCTGGCAGAGGCCGTCTGGGGAGTGCAGCGGCGCGGCGGTTCGCGGGGGGGGGGGAGTGTGTGCGTGAGTGTGCGTGCTTGTGAGGGTGTTTGTGTGTGTGTGTGTGTGTGTGTGTGCGTGCGCGCCCGTGTGGGTGGGAGAGGGAGTCTGTGTGTGTGTATGTGAGTGTGTGTGGCCGGGAGGAGGAAGCAGCCAGGCGACCAGGCCGCCTGATTCGCGGCCACTCGCCCGCCGACGCGTCGCCGGTGACCCGCCGCACGCGCGGCGCGCCGCGCACCGCCCGCCGCGCCCATCCCCCACATCGCGGCCCCGCGGCCGCCGCGGGCGCCGCCGAAGAGCTTGCGAGCGGGGCCCATGCGCGTGAAGTTCCCACTATGAGGTTCCCGCCGTGAAGTTCTCACCTGTCCACCAGAGCTCCTCGTGGTCAAAGGCGACGACCGTGAACTCGTCCCCGGGGCCCAGCAGCCGCAGGCCGGCGGTCAGCGCGCCCTTGGCGTGACGCAGCGGGTCCCCGACCATGGAGCCCGAGCGGTCAAACATGAAGACCACGCTGCGGCTGAAGGGGTAGCTGCACTCGGGGCCTGGGGTTCAGGGGTTTGGGGTTCAGGGTGTTAAAGGGGAGATTTGTCTGTGCGTGAGTGTTTAGATGCGCACAAGTGTGCGTGCGTGTGTATATGTGCGTGTGTGTGTGCGTGCGTGCGTGTGCGTGTGTGTGCGTGTGTGTGCGCGTGCCACGGGTGTGGAGTGAGAGGGAGAGAGAGCATGCGTCTCGTGCTGCACAGACCCGGCGCTCAAGTTGCCGGGCGTGCACGCGCTGGCGCGTGTTCCCCGTTCCCCACGGCCAGGACTCCGCGAGATCAAACACGTTGCGCGGGCGGGCCGAATTTGGGGGGAGGGGGGGCGAGGGGGCGCACCGGGCGGTGAGACCATAAGGCAGAAGGAGCCCCGCGGGTCCCCGCTAAGTGCCGCCTCCTCCGGGGGCGGCGGCGGCGCCACGTGCAGCATGGCATGCATCTGGGTGCGCCAGACCGAGTAGCTGACAATGACGTCATCGTTGGCCCACTCCTGGGAGTGGATTGGGGGTGGATGGAACAGTCGTGGTCTTTGGTGTTTTGTGAAGACAGGGGTTTGGTGGAGCCAGAGCTTGGGGAGTTCGTTTTGGTTGAGGCGGCGCGGGGTGTGCTGGTAGCGTGCGGGGGGGAGGGATGCTTTATTGTGGTGGTAGTTGAGGAGTCACCGGCCCCGTTTACAGAGGCCCGGGGAGGCGTCACGCGACGCGGGGCGTTGCGGGTGCCAGAGAGCGCACAACCTAATGCAAACACGAGCACGCGCGCGCGCACCCAAAAACTCTCTCTCTCTCTCGCCCCCCCTCTCTGTCTCTCTCTCCCTCGCTCTCTCTCGCGCGCGCGCGCCACGCGAGCGCCCACACGGCCAGCCCACCTGGTCCCTATCCAGCGTCAGCGCCACCCTGCCCGGCGCCTGCTCCACCACTGACGTCGGGTGCGTGGCCAGCCACTCCACGGGGCCGGGCGCGGCGCTGGTGACCGTGATGGACACGTCAAGCACGCCGTTGACGGTCCCACCCTTTGTTGTTGTGTTTGGGGGTGGGGGAGGGGG